TGAAACAGACATAGAAGTGGACAATCCCCTGTTTGTAGAGGAAAATCATGTTCCAGGAGGCCATTGTCCACTTCCATGATTGTTGGAGGGAAGGTAACAGCATGTAACAGGTCACATGGAATAAACAACCCCAACATCGCCGTGAGCATCTTCCAGGGACGGCTTTCGTGAGGCCGTGAGCTCTTACGGTCTACGAGTCACCGCGTTGGATCCGATCCTCCAGCTGTCACCGTTCGTTGGCGAACTCTGCACCCGTTCGTTGGTCGTTATCCTTGTGCCCAGTATCGGTGAATATCAGTCTTGAAGTGGTCTTGAACCATGCGCCTGTGTGTGTGAGTGTGGGTATGTGGATATCTTGAAAATGCACATGTTCATCCTGTGGGGGAACCTAGTCAAACAAAAGCGCAAGCTCAACACAGAGTCGTATTGCGTCCAGGAAGCCGTTGAGAGGACACGTGTCTTGATGCAAAGCTCGCACCTCAGGCCTGCGCAAACTTACGTAGGTGAACAAACAAATAACTAGAAGTTGATGAACATCACAATTCCTCTAAACTCTAAACCAAACACATCACGCAACCCTCACTATAGGTCTTCATGGAGCATGGGGCATCTTAGAATGCACTCCCCGAAATACATTCTCCTCATGAAATCTTCGATGAACGTCCCCGCCTGACCAAGATCTGGGCAGGATCTTCGGGGGCGTTTTGGATCGTCAGATCTTTTAGCTCAAACTTCAGGAGATGTCCTTGATGTGAATAGTTGCGGCTAGTTGAGGCGCATCGCAAAGCACATGGGACGGGGGATGGGGTCAGGGTTAAGGAAAACTACGGAAAAATGCTCTGAATTGTGGAACACTGGTTGCGCCAAGTCGAGGAAGAAGTAGCCTTGTCGAAGTCCGGAAAAAACTGGCCAATTACAGTGATAACACGTGGGGCGAGCAAACATGAGGCTGTACGTGCCTTCATGCAGGCTCCGCAGGGAATCATGCACAACGTGCTGACTTCTTGTGTCGATCTTCATGATCTCGCTACACATCTCCGAGAACTTTTTATAGCCCCAAACCACCGCTCTATTCAACAAACAGCATATGATTGAGTGCCTGTTTGCTTCGGGTTTCGTGATGAAAAACGCCATCCAATCAAACAAAATCTGGGGAATTCAGTCGACATTCGTTCAAATGACTCATTCGTGAACCCGTGTGCGTCACAGCGCAGCAAAGCAATCGCAGCATAGCGCAGCAGTTGGGCTTTCTGTGTCCCAAGCGACCACCCCAGGCACAGCTGCTGTGCATCAAGGCTGCCTCAGCAGTCGTCAAAGCCACTGTCCAGTCATTGACCTCAAACCTGAGTGAGTCAGGGTGCCAGAAAAGCGAAACTATGGAGGCGGAGCCACGCGACACGTGTCTGGTTAACATGGTACTGTGTGTTTCACTCTGCTGCCTCGAATGTCCGGCAACACTCACAAAAAGAAGGAACATATTCCCTGCAAGTCCGAAGTGCAAGTTTAACAAGGTCATTTGAGAACGATCAAGTTTTACGAGGTCATCGTGTTTGTCGGAAGAACCGCCCTTTTGTCTCAACCACACTGGTCGCCACCAGAGCCCACATAGATCCTGCACAAATCGATGAAAAAGCACTCAAAACAGTAACCAAATTCATTAAATCACGTTACGTTACCTCCTGGTGTGATGTTGTATGTGAACCTTCACATGTTCACTGCATATTCTATAGTCCTAGCTGCGGTTCTTGGCTTAGCCGCTTGCCATCAGAAGATGCTAAAACTGCCAGTCCTTGCCATGTCATCGTCGCCACACCAGATCCATATCGATCCTGCCACAAGTCAAATGCAAAGAGAAAAACAATTTTAGAGCAAGTCCAGTTCCATTCATGCTAGTGATGCTAGCACGGTTCTTGGCTTAGCCACTTGCCATCCCACTGCAAATTCTTGGTTCCTAGCTGCGGTTCTTGGCTTGGCCGCATGCCATCCAAATTCACAACAAGAAGTTGCTGCAGAATGAGTAACCAACCTGAATGGTACTATGCAATCAGAGAGCCAAACTGTCCTGCGCATGCGTGCCTTTGCGCACTTCAAGCGGAGCCTCGCAATCTTGGCCAGGAACTTTTCCATGTGTCTGCCAGAGATTGCACATGACAGCTTCTTGATCATCCCGATGGTGTCTTCTTCTGAGAAGCAATGCGAGAACCTCGAGTTCAGTCCTGAGATGCTCAAATCCAGTGAGCAAAGAACAGGTTAATTGACCCAAAAGACCACAGAAACCTCTTCCCAAAAAACCAGTGAAGCCTCTTTGAACCTGGAATTACCAGCTCAAACCTGCAAATCAAGTTCTCCTCTAGAGGAAAGACCAGTCAATGTCATCCAAAGGCACACTCAGCCAAGAATCGCTCTCTCTCGGTGCGAGCCAAAACGAGGCAGAACATGTGTGCCTTTGGCTTCAAGAACCAGCACTGCAGCCCCATCCTCACAACTGACTCAACAATGGCGAAGGGACCTTGAGGTCTCAAATGGCCCTTCAGGTCTCAAGGGGCCGTTGAAGTCTTTAAGATAAAGGGAAATTCGACGCCCCCCTCAACGGAAGTCCTGTTGGCTATATTGAGGCAGCTGATGTGGTGGTGCAGAAAGCGCTTCCCAGCTGATGTGGTGCAGAAAGTCACTATATCCCATGTCAAGTTGCTGGCATTCCCATCTTCTTGGCCAAATCCTCCATGCGGATCTCCCTGCCCTCATCCACCAGCCGTTGATCATAGAAGTCCTAGCCAGGCTCAGGTGGGTGTTCTCCATCTGAGCACACAAGTCCAACTCCAAAGATCTAGTCAGTGGTCGTGGTTCCTCTATGCAGCTCCAACATCATGTGAGCCACAGTCAAAACATGCAAAGACAACTTTTTGAAAAAGGGGTAGGTTTGTGCTCACAACCCTGCAAATGGATAAGGTCCAACTCAGAACCGATAACGTCCATATTTTAGTTGAAGAAGAATCAGGAGTTTTGACTGTCCCTCATGTCAGTTTCCAAATGGCCTCGCCTTCAGCACCTGGACGAGCAGCTCCCGTGGCTTCGAATCCGGCATGGCTTCGAAACCAGACGTGACCCCCGCCCCAGTCGAGTCCTAGGGATGATCGTGCAGAAACACTGTTGCCTTGCAATGGTGCTCCCTCATCCAGCTCATCCAGCCAAATGGCCACATCAAGATCGGCTCATGTATGTGGTTCTGCTCAGAAACACCAAAAATTTCCTACTGCGGTTCTTGGCTTAGCCGCTCGCCATCCAGCAGGTTATATTTCCTAGTGACAATCCTACTGCCGTTCTTGGCTTAGCCGCTTGCCATCTAACTGCAACTTCTTGGTTCCTAGCTGCGGTTCTTGGCTTGGCCGCTTGCCATCCAGATTTCCAACCAAACAACCACCAGTTTCCTCTCCAAGTCGATTCAAAAGAATTCAATTCATCATCCCATCGATGTTCTTGGCTTAGCCGCTTGCCATCAAACACCCTGTCCCCACTGCATGTCCATCCCAGTGTCCATCCCAGATTAAACATGGCATGTGCACCTTCATCTTCGACGATAGGCTCCCAGGCTTTCCGGTGATGAGCTATTGCTCGCCGCATCCCAACGCACGAGGAGGGAAGTGAGGCATGAATGCATGCACATGTGTGTTCATGCCCTACAGGTGAAGGGCCTAAAGTGACTGGATCCAGTATTCAAAACCAGTACTCCATGAGGTCAAGGACCCATGTCATCTATGTTGAGGCCTCAAATTGGGTCGCCTACAAAATTTTGCTGTAAAATACAAACAACGAGCCTCCAACTGCAGATGACCCCAGTGGTTCCTAGAGGTGATCCTACTGCGGTTCTTGGCTTAGCCGCTAGCCATCCAGAAGCAACCCTTAATGGTTCCTAGCTGAAATCCTACTGCGGTTCTTGGCTTAGCCGCTTGCCATCCAGCAGTTACCCATGGTTCTCTACTGCGGTTCTTGGCTTAGCCGCTTGCCATCCAAAATACCCACCAAAAAGGAGCAGGTTTCCTTACATATTTAACTAAATCCACCTCTCAGGAGACAATGAACACAATTCAGGTTTTGATGGGGTCAAGTAAAAGGTGTTCAACGTAAAGTTAATAGTGTTCAATGTCGTCATATTGAGATGGACAAGTTTTACGAGGTCATCGACTTGGAGGGATTATGTTGGCAAATGTGTGTATAATGATATATGTATATAGCTGTCTCAGAAACTTATTGATATTGGAAGCCCACATGTATAGCAAAAAAGGAGCTGTCTCGGATCAACCGTAGGGATGCTTGTTGCCTATTTTTGTCGTAAAGCTAACCCCCAATCCGGAGTGGTGAAGGTGGAGAGATCAAAAAACATCGCGTTACAACCCATATCTGGGGATATCTGCGGCCATTGGGCCCGCACAAAGGCACTGAATTGCATCACTAGGCCTTCTTGGTGCTGAAGCGAACCACCGAAGGACCATGGACACGTCCATCTTCCAAAGCTGCATTTGGAATCAATTAGGCCTTCTTGGCAGCTGCTTAGTATACTTGGGGGGATCAGGTGGAAGTGTTCAAAGGGTCCTCACTGTGACCCTCTCTCCAAGGGGCAAGTTGGGCATCAACAGGCACCACTCCTCAACCGACTCTGGTCGCACAGCCATGGCAGTTGGTGAGGGTAGAAAAGGAGCGGCCTGCGGTTCGCGAAGAGCGTGTTGCTTTTTCCGTCTTGGGCCAAACGAGATCGCCGCGGTAGAAGTTGGCTTGACGAGTGCTCATGTCGAATCAAGCTCCCTCAGTAGTTCTGAAACCAGGTCGATCCCTTGTAGCCTCAAGGAGCCTTCATCGTGCCAAAGCTCGCTCCGTTCGCCCAATGCCAGGCCCCCCTGTGTGACGACTCCGCCACAACAGCCTCCATAAGAAGGGACCCTCTGCTCAAGGCCGTTTTGACTCTCTCAACCCGGAAAGAACCACTTGGATGCGTCCCATCCCACCTCCGAGGGTGCTCTGGTGCGCTGCTCCTCGAGCATGGCGATGGCGCTGGCCGTCTCCTGAAATCTATCTATATACGCTGCGGCCCATTTTGGACGTCAAAACCGGAGTCATACATAGTTCAAAGGATTTTCACTGGATCCCCAAATCATCCCCAAACTGCTGAGTGGAAGGAAAAAGGCCAGATAAGGCAAGGGTCCACATGAAGATTCCAACGATATTCTCAGATATTGGATGGATGTATTGGTATAGCCGGCATGAAGCAATGGAGACCATGTGTTTGATTGAGAAAGAACTCTCCTGTTTGGTTTTGTGGTTTTAACGCACCCCCGGAAATGAACAACTCTGCACAGCAATCATCAGCTTCCAATGACCCCAAATGTTGATGAGCATCACTGTGTCTGGAAACCAAGTTTTGTCATGTTTTGTCCATGGTCCATCAACAAACAATATCATCACACCAGTATGGTTGATGTTGAGATGTGATTGCGACAAAGCAAAGAAATGTGATTCAACTGTTTAAGTTTTTTGTTTCCTCATCTTGGGGACTAGATCCTACAACATGCAAGAAGGAATAACCCAAAGGAGGGAACTTGGAGCGAAACTATTTTCTGGTTTGGACCGTCCGACTTGAACATGGTTCCTCGTTGCCCAGGCGTAGGTAAACAAAGTAGATCCAGCAAGAGGTCAGTGTCTGGAGAATGCAAATGGCCTCTGTCGGTGCACCGAACGGAAAAAAACGCCATGGCGCGCGGGTCATGGGCACTCCACACCCACAGTTTCCGAAGTTCGGGGGTGAGCAGGGGGGGGGCTCCATCTGCCGGGGTGCGCCAAGCGCGCGGAGTCCAGTGACCACAGTGAGGCAAGGGAAAAGAATGGGTTCGCGTTACGATCCTAGAGGGTATGCGCTGACTAAAGTAAAATGACGCATCCATTCCAAAGATTGTTCACCTATCTGAACAGTAAGCCTCAACGTACATTGCCTAACCCAAAGGAAAGGAGGGGCAGGCCAATGAGCCGGAGAAACATTACACCGCAAACCAATTTCCACTCTTGATCCATCTGAACCTTTCGCCAAAACTTAACAAACAAAACATATCTAGAACCTGAATGACCTCTATTTTGGACCACCAACCACCCAAAATATGGTCTTTTCATGTCTTTTCCTATCAAAACAAAGGTCAAACGGGTTCCAGGTATATATATATATATAATATTACGTATACATAAGAGGTCAAACATCTGGGAGACTCCGAAACCAGAAGCGACTTCAAAGTTTGATGGCTTTCTTGGTCAAGCAAATCTCACAGAACCCATGATGAATGTGTGCTAAATGAAAACAACCAACCTATCTTAAATTTACAAGATGGGAGCACGACAAAAGTCACATAGAACTGATGTTGGCAACTCCTGATTGAGTTCTTGACTACAAAATGGTGGGCATATCATGGGCCAAACAATGCAACATGTACACCCGCGCTTCTTTGCATAGCTGGCCACTGGCCACTCATGTTCTGGTTCAGGAGTCCGGAGCTGCCGATGCTGATCATTGAGCCCAGGATACTCAGGGTTGAGGCAAGAACGTATTAAGATTTAAGATGATTTAAGATCGCTGCTTATGTTAATTCATCGAACCAATGGGGTGTCTGCCTCGGAGAGATTGCATCAGGACATGTTCATCACGGGTTCTGTGAGATTTGTTGGACCAAAAAATCACGTGATCAGACTTTGGCGTCTCTTTTTGGCTTTGGAGCGTCTCTTTCCCCCCCAAAAAACAATTGACACCTTCACCTCCGACCTCCCAACCCCGAATCCCACCAGATCCTGTCTACGGCTTCGTGAGAAAACGCGCAAAAACGCGGAACGGTGCACCAAGAGACCCACATCACCAATGCCACCACCATGCCCGCGTCCGCTGAATCGCTAGTGGCTGGGTTGATCGCCTCAAAAACGGTGGACGAAACGGCATGAATAGCGAACGAATCGGAATATGGTCGGATTGGCAGAATCTGGGGCCGGATGAATTCCGCTGGACTATGTTGAATTGTGTTGAATTCGGTGGGTGTGAGTGACTGCCGCCCAGTGGATGCTGGCACCTGGGATTTGAAACATGTAGTTTCAAAATCTTACAGGTAGCCTACGAACGTTGAGCTTTTGGGAGCACTATATGATCACCCAAAGGGGAGTGACCACTTTTTTGACTAGGTTTTTCAGTGATTCTGACAAAAAAAAAGGGATCTGAGGCACTCTGGCTCGCAAAAAGCTGCAACTGTTGGCTTGAAAACATCGGATGCCTCCTCAACCTCTTTGGACAAAAAAACAACCGGATCAATACACCTTAAAGGCTCATTGGACCCTCAGTTCGCTAGGGTTTTGACCCTCACAACCAGGGTTTTGGACCGAACCAACATGTAGCACGTTGATTCCCTTGCACTTCCATCCAGCGGCATGCTGGATCCCCTGCACCAGCGAGGAGACGAAGAAGCTCACCTCGAGCTGATGCGGAACAAGGCGGAAGCAAGACTTCACGAGTGCCATCCAACTTGTCAACGTCTCCGCACTCGCGGAATCGGCGGAGAGAGCTCCGGTTCGATTAGGAAGCGGAACAGCCGAGGCAAAGTCGCTGCGGGAGGCTTCCTAACCCACCCAGCTTAGCAGAGTGTGATGAGACACCCTCACGCCGTGAACACCACTGGAGGTGGTCTTGGAAGCCGGTTTGAGGCTCAAATTTGGGGGTGGCAGCATTGGGGAACTTTCGAGATTTTCACACCACCGACCTACGAGAATCCTTCTAATGGCAGTGAGGTGGGATGGGTCGTTGATGAGGGATCTTGGACAGTTGCTCTTACAAAAAAACATCAAGCAGGAAAACGGCCTGTTGCATGCCAAATCTCCAACTCTGGCACAAAGATTGCCATTTTGGCCAAGAGAGTAAGCAAGGGTTGACTTACATTGAAATTGATTTACTGAGAACCCACTGTAGCTTGGTCAGCTGGCTGGCTGAACCTTCCAATTTCTAAGGCTTTCATGCGGTACATGGTTTACTTGAGGCAGTCGACCTGAAGGAACATCAAGTTAGGCCGTCCCACCGGAGGTATTCGGCCTCCAGTGGCTCCAGCTGCGGTGTTCCAAGATCACCGCAGAAAAAACCTCTGAAATCCGAACAATCACCGGATGTTCTCCGAAGGCCTGCTCAACTCAGCTCCTTCTTGAAGTCCCCCTCAATTCCCCTCCTCATACCTCTTCCATCCGAAAAACCACCTCCCCCCGGGCAGAAGCCTTGCGCCCCGTGCCAGGTCACAAGCCCCGAGATCCCCAAACCCAACATCACCGCAGAGGACATCCTCTGGTTGATGGAGCCTGGCGGTTCCGCACGTTCTGTGGTGCGTAAGCGAATCCAAAGGCATGCAAACATGGTGAAAGGATGTGAAAATGGTCACTGAGAAAGAACCACCTTTTGCAGTATAGCATCTTTATTTAGATAATATCTGTAGTTTTGATCCTCTAATCGCACGAGCCACTTTCTTGCGCTTGCCTCGCTGTTGGGGTTTCTGTCTAAATCATTGCCTTTTGTGTGGGGTTGCAACCGACGACGCCGTGCAACCGAAGATCTAAATCTTGGCTCATCTCAGGCCCAAATACCCGGGGAGGAAGACCAGGAAGGTGCCGAAGAGTAGGAAGCCGAAAAGGTACAAGAGGATTTTGCCTTGCTCCGCATTCGCTTCATCAGCCCTTGAAGCCTCGATCTCCTGCTTCTTCGCCATTTCCTCTTGTGCTTCCTTCATCTCTCTCCACCACTGCACCTCCCAATCAGTCTTGCCCATCTCCTCTGGCTTGATCTCAGACCCATCGTAACCCTTGGGCTTGACCCCGGGTTTCGGTTCCTCCCCTCCAAAGAAGGCCATGGGCACTACACCGATCCAAGCCAGCGCCAGCAGCGCCAGCAGCCCCCCCTGCCGTTGCCTCGACATCTTCGGCCCGTGGCGAGTCGTGTACCGCGTCGCGTGGCGTCTCGAGCACAAAGCTGTGGTGGAGGATGGTGTGATGACATGAGGCTCATGGTCCTTGCTGAGATGTCATCAGAAAACTGCTTGACTCAACAAATGATACAAACTCTTACCCTCACCTGTCAACAAAATTTGGAAAAAAAGAAAACGACACTTGAAAGAAGTACCATCAATTGAATTGCAAGAACAGGTTAAACTGCCCATCCAACATACTCAGGTTCAACTCATCCACCGCTGGGATCCTCGCTTTTCGCTGGGACGGATCCTCGCGCGGCCTGCGACCCCAAACACGCCCGTCTGCAGCACCGCATTGGAGACCGCTAAGACCTGCGAGGATCGCGGCGATGCGTCCTGGGTCGAAACGCCACGGAAACGCCACGGGAAGTCTCTGAGCTATAGTTTAACACCCAAGACTGCATATTTCAATCATCTACACATAAGAGTACTATATAAGATGTACTGAGCTCCCCAAAACATGTCGAACTGTCGGCTCATGTCGGCTCGGGCCACACCGGGCTTTTCACAGCGACGATGAGCGACGTGACGTCAGCGGCGGTCTCCGGGCTCCCGGGCGGCGATCGTCACCAACATGGGCACCTGCTGAGCGCCGATGGCCGGTCGAGCGACCAGAGGGAGCGACAAACGGAGAAGGACCGTTGCGGCTTTTGCCGCGATGTGACAGAGCGCGGTGTGACATAGAAGAGTTCATGGTCATGGTTTGAAAGTGTTCAGGTGAAGGAACATGAAGGAACATGTAAGATGAAGACATGAAGACATGACACATCATGATTGTTCATTTGAACATGCATGTTCGGGCACTTGGAGATAAAGTCATGTTTCTCACGTGAGAAACGGTTCCCCCATCCTCAAGGAATTCTTGTTGGCATGCCCCTCATCAAACCAAATATATGTTAGTGTAAACCAAATAACAAAAACACACAATATATATATATATGAGAATAGCAGTATACTTACACTCTGGAAGAGACCCACATGGAACCTGAAAACCATGCCCGGTTTGTAGAGACAACCTGAGACAACTCGTCATCCAGTCTGGTCCATGCGGGTCGCCCGGTTCGGGTCTCAGGACCCGGGTCTTTGGGCTCGACCCCACCCCCTGCTGGCTAGTGTGGGTCAACTTCCGACTCGTCCTGCTTTATATAAGCACGGTATACAGAGTCTAGCATTGTGCACTCATGTTCTTCAAAACTTAGTTTCTCTTGTGGTCACATAGTTGTCCAATATACAATCATATATATACTGTACGTTTACTGTACTATATTGTACTATCATCAAAGCAGCTCTTGAAGAACATGAATACAAATATCATGAAGCATCTATCATTAACTCCGGGGATGTCTGAGGTGTCCAATTCTCCAAATCAATTTCTTGCATACTCCCAGTGGACATGCCTCAGCTTCAAGGCTGCAGTCATTATCATGTCATCTCTCTCAAGCTCACCAGCTGTGTCGCCATGTGGTCCAGCACAAACGATTCTCATCTTCAGATGCAGGGAGCTGATTCACACGAGACGATTCGCACCCCATGATACAACGACCAACGATTCGCACGTTCCGTTGGGTCTGGCTGAAAAGGAGAGTTGCTGAGAAAGAAGCCACTCTTGACTCATTGAGGTACAGCAAGAGACTACAAATTAATAGATTGCTATTATTGAGTGAGGTACAGTAGTTGATGGTACTTGTAGTCACTCTTGACTCGTTGATGCTATTTTGTCCATCCTAATTGAGCTGTCTCAACCCCCAACCCTATAGCCGAGCCAGGCACATAGAGCCGCGAGCCATGACTTCTAGAAGCTGAGGTCAGCCCTCAGAACGCACGTTCCGCTGCACCGCGCCGTGTCCACGACGCGGCTTACGAGCGGCGGCTTATGCGGCCCAGGGTGTCATGACAACAAACGCCAGCCAAAGCTTTGACTCAACAAACAAATATGGTGTAAATCTTGCAAAGGGAAGAATAGGGAAGTATAACGCAAACGTTGTTTTCTTTGAGACGTGTCTGTTTCATCCACAGGCCAGGGCTTCCAGTTAATCTCAACAGTAAGGATTCAACACCATGTTCTGATCGGCCATATCCTTTAAGTTTTTCGTTGCACCAAAACAGGTGGCCCAAACAGGTGGCCCAAACAGGGGACCAACGCCTCCAGGCTCCTTGAGATGTCTGAAGTATTGCCCAGCAGCCGAAAAAGGAGAGGCACACGATGACCTGTTCAGCTCGTGTGGATCGTTGAGGTTTTGCGGAAGCCCCTTTGCAACCTGTTTAAACGACCTCAGGTACTGGCCCAGGCCTTGAACGTACCCAATAACAACCTGTTACTAGTTTTGGTTGCCACCTCCTGCACTCAAGCCATGATTTGTCTAGTAAATGCCATGGCGGCGTGGTTCACCACCGGAAATGATATGGCTTTGATTGGCTTTGTACCAGGCGGGGCCCCCCACGAGTGATCATGGTGTGTACCCTTTAGCAATGCAGTGCTTCAAAATATTAATACTAATCATTTCCAGGTACACTCCAACTGCCACTCGTATGTCGACACACTCCTGGAGTGACTGGTTGCTACTCTGGCTGTTGATACGAGTATCTGGAAAGCCTGCAAAAGACGAAATGGCCAAACAACAATCCAGCAAGGTGTGAACAAATCAGGCATATACACAATCAACCAACCAACCAACCAACCAATCAATCAATCAATTCCAACTTAATTTGTCCAGTCGTTTCGCCACCCCAGCCACTCTCCAGTCATCGGGCTCGCCCAGAAACTCCGGAAACGTGCCTCCATGATGAAGGCTGTGCCCATCCGCTGGTTGACTGTAAAGCCATCGCCTGCGCTTGGGTTCTGTACCGTTGATACTCAGTTCTTAGAACATCAAACGTATTTGTTAGTTCAATTTGGAGAGCAATCACTTGGAAACGAAGGGTCAGGCTGGACTGGACTAAGACTTTTAGAGCGGACACGCACTGGAGAACACCAACAAAAGCAAGAGAGAACTTCCTCTCCCCAAAGCATCCCAAAGCCGAATTTAGAACCTCAGCTGTCTACTTGTGTGATGCCTAGTTAACATAGCGTTACAGCCAGCCATCAACACCCAGATACCGACCCTCGCGTCCGACCGGACACGGCGGCGGACCTTTACATGTCAGACAGAGTTGTGCCGTGCAGAGGCATAACGAGTAGGTCATCATGCCTCGAGTCGAAGGACGACGGAAAAAAACGGATGACATGGCGGACATGGGCGACACTGTGGAACATGATATTGGATATCCTTAGTGATACAGTGATACATAAACAGAATCCACCGAGGATACTACATAAACAGTGTTAGTAAAGGCCTTTCCCAAAAAGAAATGATAATCCTTTGTCAACAGTTACTGGCAATGGGAAACACTTGTTTTTACATTGCATCTGAACTTGATGACCCACTCTGGCTTGGCCTTGGCCGATTGGCATGATTGTTTTGAAGGTAAGGACACCTCATGACACCTCATGTGACCTACATTCTGAGAGCCCAAGACGTGTGGAGCTCTAACGAAGCCGCGAGATGCAAAACACCCACCCAAACGCCCACAGCTTCCTGAGATGGCCTGACGGCCTGACGCTCTCAGCTTCACAAAATAAGGGTTAAGATATGTCAACCTGGTTCCACCTCTTCATGATTAGGAGGAAAAGCATGGGTAGACACAAACTGGGTAGGCGGCGAAATTCACCATGGTGTCGGTTGTCTGAGTGTAGGTGAGTAGAACATGCGCAGCCCTAACGCTCCAGAAGCCCTGGTTGCAAAATCTTGACAAACAAAAACAGTGCAGCCTTGGGATGTCTGCCACACCCAACCCAAAAGGACCTGGCGAGTGTGCCCAGGTTCAGGTTGACAATCACTACAATCCGAGGACCAAAAGCTGTGAATCACTACACTCCGACGAACACATCACATGGAAAAACAACAGGCCCCCCCGTTCGGAACAGGAAAGTCGTCTTCCTTTCGGGACCATGCAATCCACTTCCATGTTAGTGAGTCAGAGGGTACGATACCACGTCCACATGAGCTACTGAAGCTGGACCCCCCTTTCCCCACCGATTCCTCGATGAGATATCAAGTCCACGAAGGCGGTCAAGTCCGGAAGCCTTCATTGACTCAAAGTATGGGTGGGACCCCGTGGCCGATAATTGAAGCATTTCGCACGAGAGAGTGACTAGAGAGTTGACTAGAGTAGTGTCCCAAATGGCCTATGCTTGTGGGAAGGGGTTGCCAACAGGCTTCCCAAGTTCTCTCAGGGCCTCACATCCCACTGAAAGAACATGCGACTGGCTCATCTGATCTAGAGATTCTGCTGGCATGCACGTCGGGTGGCTGGTGAATGGGAAGTATAAGCCTTGGAACGGATACCTGGGCACGAACGGGGCCACATCAATCAGGCATCTGAGAGTCTACAAGCTGCTCATGCAAACCACTATGTATAGATCCAATCCTGCACGCCTGCCTCACACCATATCCATGTTTGGGAGGAAAACCTATCGTGAAGGCTCTCGTTTGGGTGACAAAGGTCGTATGGGTGGGTAGTTATGTAGTTCCAGTTCTTGGGATGTATCGCTGAGCTGGACCATATGTGGTCTTGGCGTCAAGTCCAGCTACTGGGGCCTTCCCCCGTTTGCCTACAAACCAACTGGTTCCTGCATGTTCACACACGGCTCACATCATTATGTGACTCAGCTCATCCTACCAATCTATATTTCTGGATCCACTTTGGCTTACCTATTTTCTGGTCCGAAGGCATGACAAAATCTCTTACGACTCAAGCGTCGCATGGCGCCACCCCCAAAACGGTGATGCAAACCACAGGCTGGTGGGACATGTGATTCGCAAACGTCTACGCTTTCACAGGAGCAACCGCGTAAACCTCTCCTGAAGACCCATGGGTTGGGTTCGCAAGTGTGTAAGTCTAAGTGGAGGTGACATGAATCCAAGCAATCCAAGAAACCAACCTAACCTCATTCTCAAAAGCTCGGATGAATGGACCTCTGCCAATGAAGCACAAACAAGATGTTGCTCAGGTCTAACAATTTGCCAACAAAAAACAGTGGGACAACCCTTCCAGTGGCCCAGGGAGACATGCTTATATATTTTAGGCGAAGGAATGCGAAGGATATGTTGATATGCCCCACCCTAAAGTATAAAAATGAAGAAAAAGAAACTGTTGGCCTACTGCATGACTTATACAACGCTCCGACACCGCGCCTACAGCACACACCCGCCATTTCCGCAGCTGAGGCTCTGCTCAAAGTAGGGCTGAGCATTCAACAGGCAGTTGTAAGGCAGTAGGGTGCAAATACCCAGGGACATTAACCTTACGTGTTCGCATATCAGCACACAAGCGAGAAAATCGTCATCACCCGTCTGTCCCTTACTGCTAAATATTAGGTCACCAAGCAATACGTAGCCATACCAATGCTGACTGCCAACAAGGTTGAGGGATGGATGAACAACTCAACTACAGCTGAGCAGGGTCCTTCAATCATGAGCAGCACAGTGGCGTTGTGTCGTCCCAAACCTGTAGTCTATGGCTGCCATGACCTCCTCCTGACTCATCCGGGCAGCCTGGGCCCTGATGCGTCTGGTTTAGCAAAACACAACTCGCACGGAACACGCAACGAAAGCAAAACTTCAGGTAGTCGTTGGTCTTAGGCTTCCCCTCACCCCCAAACAAGTAAAACATATGAACGGTGAACAACAAAAGGAAAGAAACTGCAGTGCCAAGTCCCGTCCAAAACGATTCATCGTGTTGGCCAGCTTATGCAGCTTCTACACAGCTGAGAAGCGCCAGCTGTGCGCGGCTCAACATCTCTTCTTCAGAGTCGCTGCCTTGGAAGACGCGGGAATGTTCAGATCGTTTCGGACCTAAGTAGAAGCTACAAGTAACTCAAACCAAGGAGGCGTTGGTCGTACATCTAGCTTTGCACGTTCCCCATTTATTTTGGAGTCTGGCTAGCACGTCACCAACACAAAAGTGTTTTGATACTGTAGCTCTTTAGAAGTTATCCATGCTGCATCTAGTTCTGACATGACAAAGAATATACAGTGGTTGCAAAGTAATTAGGTGACACAAGCCCCAACATGTCTTTTAGATGGGGGTCCATTTAAACCACTTGTTGCGGATTCTGCCATCTACTCTGAAACCCATATATTTAAATCCTAAGCCAGCTATATGTGTCTGTTGCTGATCTTTTCCGGGGTACAGGGGCAGGGGGGCGAAATGGAATTGATGCACATGAGAAATGTACCGAACAGCCCATCTGGTGCCATGTAGGATGAGACAACAAGCCTGATGTAGATGGTGATATCTCAGCCCCAACCAGACTGGTGTCACGTCTCCATCATATAGATTACCCTACTCAAAACTAACATAGGAACACAGTCTTTGAGGGTGCCGTTTTCAGGGTCCATGTGAGTTTTCGGGAGTGTATATAGGGGGATATATCTACATGGTGTTCTACTGGATCCTCGTTCCTATAGGGGTTCTGAAGACCATGGTCACTATCCCACTGACCGGGTTGACGGTCAGTGTTGTTCAATGGCCAAATCAGGTGAAGGCTACCGCTACCGGTCCCGAAGAACATCGCGAAACTTTCATGCTGTCATGCCATTGTTCGATCATCGGGCGAACGCGACTCAACGTGGACATGTCCAGAAAAGCAGCTCTTTAGCAGTCCCAATCGGAGATTCCTTTGAGCCATGTGACGGCTGCGGAAAAAAAAAGCACACCCAAAGCCCAAGAACCTGCAGAATAAAAGCAAAAGAGGGCCGAAGCAGATCCAGTCGCCTGAGTCGAACGAACTACCGAAGTCGAAGACCCCATTTTTAGGCTTTGACCGAAGAACCATGGTCTGAAAAAAAAAGGGTTGTTTATACACTAGAAAACCAGGATCAACCATTTTAAAACTGGTCTTTGACTTCCAGGGTAATTATATGTTTGCTATATTTTTATGTAAACAAGTTCAAGTGAACAAGTTCAAGTGCCACCATATTGATCTCTCTCGACTATGCAGCCTCCTCCACAGGAACACTCTGAGGAATGACAAGTCTGATTGGGACACGGCTTAGGCACACAAGGGTCGGCTGAACGCCCTCAAGGCGGGGATGTCTGATTCTTATCCTGTAACTGCTATCGACTACGATCTGTTCAACCTGAGTTCCCCAACGATCTGCTATCAAACTTCTCTTTTCTCGCGCTGCTTCCAAAATCACACGTCCAGTGGCCAAGTAGATGGCCCATGGACTGAACAAGGCCACCGTGACACCCGACGCTGCTTCACCCATCTCCCTCTGCTTTGAAGGTTCGTTCTTCCGATGTGTCAGTTCCAGCATTGATTTGACCGGATGAAATGGGCCCAGAAGTAACATGCTAAACCCAATCAAAAAAAACGCGTACTGCTGATCCAAAGCTGCTGAAAAGGCACGCCACAGCCGTGATAGTTTTCTCTTCGCCATATGGGGGCAATCACTACCTCATAATTACTTATATACTGTGCCTTCCTGTGGCTTCAGGTCAATGCTATATATGAGTACGCTACAAAGACTATTTACATCTATTACTGCTCTCTAACATCCCATCCGCGCCGCCCAGCACATGCCAGCAGCACCCGAGCGAACAAGTGCTGTGAAAAGCCCCGGCGAACATCGGTGTGATAGGATGGCGCCCAAGTAGCAAGCACATGATGGTGACTGAGTAAGACAGGATAGAGGGGGCGCTTGTCCAAGCAACCTATATACGTCATATTTACTTCCAAATTGGGCTTTACTGGTGGCATCTGGTTGCCAAACGTAAGTGTAAAACGAAGGAAACCCATTTGGCACTCATTATCTTATATCCTTCGCTCAGCTTGTCAGGCACGGCAGCCTTGTGTAAGCAAAGAGCCAGCTGTCCCTTCCGTTGGTGATTCAAATGGTTCCATGTTCTTTTTGGTTCGAACATCCCTCAAATTCATCGGCACCTCTGTTGCTGCAAAGCCAAACTACATGCTTCCGCTTACATAGAGCCACAGCTGCGTTGCTGTCTTGGCCCCTTGTGGGGCTATGGCTACCGTAAACTATATCTCCAGCGATGCCCTCACTGGACAAAGCGATACCCAAGACCTGGCAGCAAACAACAATGAAAAACATGGATGTGCGGAAACGAAACCTGAAAAAATACCCAAACACTCCATGTATTGTGCCATATATGCGTACATTGGGGTGGCTTGGGGGGATACATCATTTCAAGAAACGGGACTCATCTTTGCGGAACATACACATCACATCACATCACCCTAAGCAAAACCAAACACGCACGGGGTGGATAATATCATTTGGATGCGCCATGGAATTTCAGCTGAAGGGTATCCTGCAAGTTTCACAGGCAGTGCATACTAGCCAAACAACAAAGTGCAAATCACTGAAACAGGCACTTGAGGGTTCAACATGTTCAATATATAGCTTTTTTAAACTACATAACAGAGTAGAATTGTTAGAGCCGTTTGTCTGTGGACAATTTGCACCCTTCCCTCAAGAGAAGGAATGCAGTCGGGTGAGGTTGCACTATCTGCGTGGCATGTAGCGGCAACCAACCGCTGCGCACGTCTGTCTGTTTCTCTGGGAGCGCGTTTGCGGCTCCGCCCGCCTGCGACAGGGCTGGGAGCGCTGGGGATCGGTTCCGATATGACCATCCACGTCTTCACCATCCTCCGTCTGACGTGCCGAACCAAATGCACCGCACCAAAGACTAAGAACAACATGAACCGTTCAGAAAAATGGACCATGTGTTAGTACCCTTATAGAACATGATAGAACATGAATCCCAACTTCAGCCTCCTCCCCCCCCAAAAAAGCAACAAACCATCCCGACTTGGCACAGCGGTGCAAGTCTCCATGCTACCGTTGGGGTCGCAGGGCGGTACCGGCCTTACAGTTCCGGTCGCTTGGGCTTCTGGATCCGTGGCCACGCCTGCGAGAGGGAAGGGAATCCAGGAGGGCTGAAACTACTGGTTCATATTGGTTCGGTTGTGACCTAGCGTGTTTCATTCGTTCTTTGTTGTCCCAAACATACATCTACTAACATGATCTAACATGGTGTTTCGATTTCATCGGTGGATGCAATCTGGCCGTGCCTGCCCAGTGGTTCCGATCCCAGGCGCTGTAGGAGTTCTCAACTCACCAAAGACCGGGGTGATGTTTCTTGGTGAAGAATGTTGGAGAATGGTCTCATGTCCACTCTCATTTCTGAAGAATTGGAGGCCTTCAGCCTTTGTGGCTCCCCCTTCAAGTCGCGAAAAGGTCAGATTTCTATTTGTACCGGTCCCAGCTGGGATGGCATCAACGGGTAGGTTTCGAGGACCTGCAGGTCAGCGGATTGCAGAGATTGTCATCTGGAGGCCCAACGTGATGGTGGATAAATCTTTGGAGCAAATATAGTGGATTGAGAGTAGATTCGAGTAGATGGCACAGACCCCAAGAGGTGGTTTATATGGACCCCCATCTGTTCAGGACATCTTGGGGGTCTGTGCCATCGAACCTCTGAAACCACTGTAAGAAAACGAGCTTCATGGTGGACTCTTCACCCAAAAGCAGCTCATCGATCCCACCATCCGTGCGCGTTTTCCAGCTCCGAGGAACACGGTGGGAGCTGTATTTGTGGCGTTCCCAGGCCGGGATGTTTGCCAACAAAGGTGTGAACGCTACTAGGGGCTCCTGGCCTTACTACTAGGAGCAAGACGCTACCAGGAGCTACGTTCGTCGCGTCCTTGCTCCGTTTGTAGCGATGCCCTTCATCTGAACATTGGGGACTAGAAGCGGCTGAAGGCTCCTCCTCCGACCAAGGTGACACAACTCAGCGAACTCCCCCAATTTGGAGCATATGTTTGTTCGCCGATCTCTTTCCCCAAACGGTGGCACCAACCGTCTCGCGTGTCCTCCGCGGTCACAAAAACGCGCCCCATAACGGAGCCTTGGTGGGTGTGATCTCGTCGATGAGGCCATAGTCCTCACAAACAGGTGAATTTGACCAGGCTTGCTTGGGAGAACAATTGAAAGGGCACAATGAGACCAACAAGGGCACTAGAATGTGAGAAAATGCAGGGAAGTCAATGTGAGATTTATGCACGCGGGCGGGTGATCATGCCCTCAATTCCAACCCATGTAGTATATCTCCAGTATATAGGTTCGATCAAAATCAGTTCCGAAGATACTGTATGTACAAAGGGGTTGCTCATTGAGTGCTCTCAATACTCTCTACACTTGACGACACTCACATGTCTTCAATTGGGACGCCCGACATCACCTAGAACCTCTTAGCGTTCTGAATTCATGGCCTAAACACATTTGTCATTCGGCCTCTTGCCAAAACCCTGTTAAAGTTTGAACCCCTATCTTGATCCAGTGCCCATCCAAAAGCATGCGGACCCTGTTCACGTCTCTTGCCAAAGCATTCGGACCAATACCACCAAAAGCAATCAAAAGCACAGATACGGAGGCTGTTTGCATCCGGTGCCCCATTGTTTTTTCACCACCAAAAGGCGTCCGGAACCTGTAGCGCCCTGGATACCCTTGGCGCCAAAACCCCGAAATGGGGAATCAGAATCTGTCCGCCGAAAGGGCCATGAAAAGCACCACCCGGACTTCATGCTCCAGGTAGTTCGATCTGCGCGATGGCCGTGCTCTTGGTATACACTAGCTCCCAGCTGTGAGCTACTGGGGAATGCTCCTCTACGGGAAGTATACGAAAACATGAGAAATCCACTTGGTCTTCACCCTCGCACCCAACCCACCAAGTCAGCCACCAAGTGAGCCCTTCAATGGGCATTTTTTGGGCAGACCTCAAAAGGTTGTATACAGGATGAACCAATAGACCTCATAGTATACATCCATTGAGATTAATTTCGGCAAGCAGCAAGCACAGCTTCGATAAGGCTCTCAGTGACGGCCATGGCGGCCCTGATGTGAAGACCGCCGCTTCTGAGGACACACCCAGCCATTCAGAAACCAGCAGTACTCGCACTGTTGACATTCACATTTTTTGCCAGAATCTGTATGCAGCCCAGGAAAGCATCAAACTCCCACCGGGTCCGAGTCATGGGCACCACCAAAGCCAAAGCACAAACATCTTCAGACTGAGGGGGGATGGTCACACTTGCCAACCAGCTACATCCTGCAAAGGCTTCATTCCCAATCTGGACCATTGAGTCGGGGATTGTCAAATTTGCCAAGTTTTTGCAAAATTTGATTGTTTGTGGAACAACTTGAATTGCACCGTTTGGGATTTGAGCTGCACATAGATCAAATATTATCAAATAGAGACTCCAAGTCAATCTCATGGCAAAACTGGGCAAGCTCATCTTTGTGGGAACATGTCGCAATGCTTCGTCTCAAAATTGCCGTCACCTGATTCTGGAGACAAGCCTGCGTCTGCAACCGCCTCATCATTTTGCGGAAATCTGCTACCACCGCCACGACGTCCACCAGGGTTGTTTTAAGTGCGAACTCGTCGTCCCAAGGCTGGCACGCCTTGATTCGCTCTTTGAGTTCGCAACCAGTGATGATTGGCATGACTTCAAGAACCATCGTTTCACCATTCAGCTGCCGAAATGAAATCCTCATAGAAAACGATATCATTTAAGCAGCCATGGCAATGACATTGCCATGGCTGCTCAAAACATTTCGCTTCGGACTGCGACTTCGAGATGAATTCCATTCCTCCGCTGGAAGCTTGATCCACATTGTCACATGCGCCTGCACACCTGACAGTGCTCCAGGTCTCTCTTGTGACTTCGAAAACTTAGCTTCTACACAGCCACTCCCATGGTTCCTCCACCCTGTACCTCAGCCATCCATGTTCACCTGAAAATGGAGGATGGATTCCTCTGGGAAGGCTGGCGGAAAGTGCCTTCCTGGTCGACATCTTGGGTCGACGTCTGGCCACACAAGTGACGGGCTGTACCATGGTTCCATGATGTTCCATGGTTCGGAAGACACTGTCCCAGCAAAAATGGATGTGACCAAGTCTGCAGATCAGTTGGCCACATTGATGAGAGCCTGCACTGTACTTGACCAGCGCCAAAGGGCGGAGATGGTTCCCCCAGCCCATTCGGTCCAAACCGCTCCTTCGCCTCCTCGGGCGTCATGAAGTTGTCTCGATCACAATCCTGGTACGGGGGGGGAAGGGAGAGAAAGGAAGGCATCAAAGGATGGAAGTCAACATGGAAGTGCCAAAAACTATCCTGGTGGTGATGAAGGTGGGGATCGTGGTGAAGGTGGCAGTGATGAGGTGGTGAGTGAGTGAGTGAGTGAGTGAGTGAGTGAGTGAGTGAGTGAGTG